CTCGCTTAGCCCATTGGCTTCGCGTCAAAACGCCAAGCCTTGCGCGGCAGCCTCGGCATCCGCAAAGATGCGAAGCATCTCTTGCTGAAGAACGGCAGGACGCGGATGGCTTTGCCATTTGGCAGTAAAACTGAGTGCGATGGAGTGCGCCTTGTCTTTGCCATGTATTTGTTTATTACTCGGGGCAAACTTTTTATTCTGCGGAGGCCCCGCGTAGGCAAATCTGGTGGGGAGGAGGATTGCCTAGTCTGCGCAGGCTGTTCAGAAAAAGACTGCGTAGGCTTTGTGACCGGATTTGCCCACTCAACCCAGCTGGCGCCACACAGGCTCCTAGAACTTACATCATCCACCTAGGCTAGGCAATTTGAAAATACAGATCGATGCTTGAAAAGAATGGGAAATCAACCCCTAGATGTCTGCCTTCCTCTCACTCACTTCAAGGGGGTTGCCCTCGAAATCCGAAGCAGCTTTTGGATTTGAGAGAAAGACTCAAAAGAAGGGAGTCGCGTGAACCGTGCACGCAGCCTACGCTGCAGGTGCCTAAGCAAACCATTCTCGGGCAGTCTTGAAACTCGTCGTAAAAAGCTCAGCGCAGCGCTGCAGGCAAACACCTCCAAGAAGTTTGGAGTTGACCGAATCTCTTGGTAGCAGCTTTGAGTCTTGGCCGTCGCTTCGGGTGTTTCATGGTTTCCTGAAAAGAAGGATCCCTGGAAAGAATGGGGAAGGTAGCCCTAGAAGACAGGCAGAGATTCGCCCTTGAAATTGTTTCATCGGGGAGACGTCTCTTAAGAAAAATATGTTTGCGCGTCACAAGCTATAGCTGGTGAGGCTCAATGGGCAGACGTCAGTGGCATCATGTCCCCCTTTCTATTTGGTTGGGTCCCATCGAAAATGGCATCAACCCAAAACGGGGTTCCAAGTCTGTTTCTGTGAGGGGAACCGGGCAAACGAAGCATTAAAGGCCTTATCACATAGCAAGAAGCCCCCTTTCAGCGCAGAGCTAAGGGGGACCCATGCATCTCGCAAAAACTATGGGCTTTACAAAAAGCAAACCCTGTGCCCCGACAAAGCATGAATTCCAACCTTCCAAGTTGCGCGTGACATGAAACACACCAAGCGCTGAGCAGTTGGGTTTGTTGCAATCAATGCTGGCAGCCAGACCTTCCCTTTATATATGAGTTGTGTTTTGGCAACCCTGTGGTTGCGCGCACTAAAACGCCTAAGTCAGGATATCACAATGGGAAGCAGGGCTGTTTGTTTGTCCAAATGCTCTGATGTTTGTTTGGTTCTGCTACATGTTGAATGGGGCTGCAAAGAACAGATCTCACTAGCGTACTAGTCATAAACTTCCTCAAACACAGCTCCAGTTTTGTCTATGTTTGATTCCCCCAAAGAGGTGCGAACCAGGGCTTAGCAAGAACCGCCTTGCGCCATGGTGTCCGGGCCGTCGTTCAGTCCCCATGTCAAGGCGCAAAAAGCTTCGATGGGCGTCTGCCGGCCTGTCACAGAATGTTTCCGGCGTAGTTGTTTGACCTGGCGAGTTGTGTTGGACCTGGTTGCCCCCCCTTACCCCCCTAAAGCTTGGTGGTTCCCAGCCATCCCCTTAGGCTTTTAGTTTTTAGGGTTTAGTGGCAGTTGCGACTAAGACACTAAACCTTAACTTTTTAGCAGGGGATCTGTTGACTGGCGCGAGCTTCGTGCCTTTGTCTTTTTCGACGGCGCGGTGTCTGCGATAGGAGTCGATGAGGTGGTCCCCTTGTGTACCACCTCTCAGTACCCGTTTTTAGCCTTTAACCATCCAAACATGAGGGCTCTGCAGGGGTCACTGGATCTCCCCTTCAAAAGTTGATCAATTTCCTGGTGGCGTCCCTTGAAACTGCCACTTGAGTTCATGGACTGTAGCAACTTCTTGGGTTTGCACCAGTTTAGTGGTAGACAAAAAGTGAAGTGAGCTAGACTCGTTCTAAAAACTAGTCCAAGAATCCCTAAGGTTCTATCAACAAACCCCTCAAGTAAGCAACAAACATGTTGGGAAAGCCTCCAGTGAAATGGCTGTGGGTCAAAATTGAACCACCAGAAAACCGCAGGTTTTAGTCCATGTTTCCTTTTACCAGGGTTCCGTTTTGGGGGAACCCCCTGTTTTTGACCCGCAGCCAGATGACGACAAGGGCTTCGGCGGATCGTTTGGAGGCGCTGCTGGACCTCCAAGCGGCCGGCGACGCCGCCCTCGCCGGCGACGGAGATGCCGCGACGGCGGCGGAGCAATACGCGGCGGCGCTGGCGCGCCTCAAGGCGACGTCTCGCGGCGTCTGCGCGTGGGGAGTTTTTGTAGGGGTTGATTCCAACCATTTTCCCATGATTTCCCATTATTTCCTCTGTCAATATGTCACTATCAAACCCCGTACAAACCCAGAACCATGTACAGAATTAGAAAGGCAGCCGCAACTACTTCCGGCTGGGACTGCCCCTTACTAACCTTCATCTACCCGGGTGTTGATTGTGGCTCAAGTGAACATTTGGATGAACTGGACAATGTTCAATCGCAATGTCATTCTTTCCTAGCTCCACAAATCTCTTCTCTCACTCATCACCAGAAGAATGTGATTTCATTTGGTTTCCCTTCAAAGGGGCTTTCTCAAGAAAAGACACGCCCAAATGTCTCTTTCCTTAGGTGGATTGCGGTATCCAATCCCTTATGATTCATTGTTTTTTTGTGTTTGCGTTATACAACCACGTCGATTCCCAAATGGCTGGAGCTCTGGCTTGGTGTTTCTCAAAATGAGTTAGGCCTCCATCCACGGATGGTTTTCTGGCTTCCTTTTCAATCTGCCTTGGGTTCTTCTCCAAAGCAGGGATGTTTAGTTAACCTCTAGAGAAGCCAGCATGCACGGCTAAGCCATGGTTGGCTGGCAATGCAAGGTCCTAAATGGACGGCCATACAGCCGGCTAGCACGTTTGCGGATTCCGCACTTGTGGAAGACACCCAGCTGAGCATTGAATTCCAAGACCGGTTCTTCTTGGCTGTCGTAGGTGGTTGTACCAGTGTTCATGAGGTTGTAGGACAGGGTGTATAAACCTTTTCAGCAAGAGAATCGGCTTGGGGGCCCCCGCTGCCAACCATCCACCAAGTGACAAGGCTACATTCGCGGTGGAAGGCCAAAGCTGGCTTTCTTGCAAAGTGGTGCAACTTTTGGGCACTGCTTGTTGAGGTTCTATGATTGTCTGGGCAAGCCCCTTTATATTCCAGCGTGGTGAACCGTTCAAAACAGGCAGGAAAATGACCATCCGTATTCCTGCTGTCCATGTCTACCCCGATCGGGTCTTTGAGTGTTCCCTTGTGACTTCCCCCTCAGGGCCTTCGGGCCCCTTGGCGAAGCCAGCCATCCGGTTCAACTTAGCGTTTAGCCTTTTAGTGTTGAGTGGTTGTTTCCATTTGAAGCGCGCTCAGAACTTACGGAAAAGGAAAGTATACACTTGGACATCCATATAGCTCAAGGTGCTTGAAACCATGGAAAACGATAGGGGACTCTCAAAAAAACGAGACCTTTGTGCCTTTCGACCAAACACTGGAAAACGATCGGGGACTCTCTAAATTCGAACCTACTTACTGTGAACAACACATTTTGACGGGGTTTCCATTTAACCCACAAGCGAAACTTTTAGCGGATCATCAAAACGCTCGTTGACCAGTTCGGGACCGAGCCATTCAAACAGCACCGGTTTTTCTGGGCCAGCTTTGCATTTGGCCAAGGGATGTTAGGACTCGATTTTTGTTTGCCGACGAATGGATGTTTTCCGTATTAAGCCACTAAAAGTCAGCAGAAAGCAATAGAGTGGGTATTCCTAAGCTTCTTCTTGAGGGACTCCATTGTGGTGTCAGATTTGCCCCCCAGATTCTCAGATGCCTTCTAATGAGGTGTCTACGGGACCTTTTGCGGCGTTGAATAAGAATCCGGGTGAGACCTGCGCATATGTGTCAACACCAGTTGGACCCTGAACTGGGCCTAAAAAGTACTGATGAAAGAAGCCCCTTGGCTAAGAATGTCACTAGCCACTGGCCCGTTGGCTTGTTCTTTACCTACAATCCACTCAGGGTGACTTGTCCGTAGCTACAAAGCTTTGGTGCATCTTGCCAAGGGATGTTCGGACTTTCACTTCTTGCCAACTGATGGGTTTTCCATTAAGCCGCTAAAAGTTGTTCACTTTTAGCAGGGGAGCAGAAAGCAACCGAGAAAAGTGATGGAACCTTTGCTCGGAGCCGAAGGAGGTGGGCCATGAGATCCAGAGCTTCGATGTGCGAGCCTTCAAGGCGGATGGGATGAAGCTGGCTTTTTGCACCCCCCCCGCTGACACCTTATGTGCAGAGCCAACGAAAAAGCAAGAAGCAACAGAGGGTGAAGCCAAGACATCGAGGCTAAACAGTCCAACTTGCCAGGAAACCAAAGGTCGGCACCAACAGCGACGTCAAGCCAAAGAACAAAATCTACTGAACCGACCAATGGAGCGTGCATTGGAAGCAAGAGTCAATGTTTTGGGACCCCGTTGCTCAGCTGAACATCGGCACGGAGGGCTGTAATGTAAACCCCGTATTAATAACCCCCCCCCCCTGAAGGTCAAAAGGTTTTTTTTGGAATGGGGGGGGGGGAAAGATTCTGGAAAGTGTTTGGCCTGCCTCCCCTGAATAATCTGGAAGCTTCCATTTGATTTAGTATTGCTGGAGCCTCCTTTTCAGACTTGGAGTTGAGTGTCCGTTTGATGTAATATTGCTGGAGCCTCCTTTTGAGATGTTGAGATTTGGAGCCTCCTCTATCCCCATTCCCTTGGCGGACTTTCTGAGTTATGAATTGCTAAGTATTGGAGGGCGGCACCCGGACCGGTCTAGTAGGGGGGGAGGGTACTAATACTATGTTTACATTACTTGATAGGAAAATAGCGTAGCCTCCCGGTCCATGTTGTCCTGGGATAATTTGTGCGGCTTCGAGTATGCTGAGTTGGTTGCTAGCAACTTTCAGAACCAACAGTTACTCCTGTTCTTAGCAAGGATCAGACTTACGTTGGCGTCGAGTGTGCAAATACCGCACGAATCGGCATTCCAAGGTTTGTTCTCTCCAAATGATTGCATACTCCATGGCAATAGCTGGAGGTATGCCCGCTTCTTCTCCAAGCTGCAGGGAAGACTCCTTGGGCTATGTCTAAGGCCATGGTGCAAGCTTAGTCGAAAACCATGGCCAAGCCCAATTGTTCAACCATGTCCTCTTGGGGAACAAGTCGAATACTGGTGGCTCCTATATACTGTACTTTCTCGTGGTTTTTACTTGATGTCAAGAGTCCTTCGTCGCTGGACTGTACATAGTTTTTTTCATTGCAGTGTCAATCAACAGGCTTAGACGTTCTTTGGTCAAACCACTCAAGCGAGTCAAGCTCCAGCGGTGTCTAAAGTGCCGGCATACACTAGTTCAGCTTGAAGCACTTAAACCTGTGATTGCGCGCTCTTGGGACATCCAAGGGGTGAAAAGGGGGGTTGTCAAAAGTGATTCCTACACCATGTTTGTTTCGACCCGGGGGAACGGAAAACACTCTTGATGTCAGCCTGTCCAAAAAAGCAAACGTGCGATGCGTCCCGAGAAGCAACCACCCTTGGTCTAAACCATCCATCACCCACTGGTTGGCTTCTTTCGTGTTGAGACTGGTGTAGACTCAGGATACATTTTACATTTTACCCGTGACTCAAAGTGAAGCAAACAATAAAATATACATTCATGTCACTGGTTGCCTAACTCTAATCATGGAGTGGGCTTCCCTCAGAACTTACCAAAGGTCCGAACGTTTTTGTTTCCCTGGGAACCTCCGAAGCAAACCGTCAACCGCAGGTCTCCTGGCGCATCGTGTCACTGGCGCTTGATTCACCGCCCAGTCATTGGCCTTGATGGAAACAGGAAGGGACAAAGGGCAAGTTGCAAACCAAATGACACCAGAAAGAGCCAAAAGCAATGGGGAAACCAGTTGCTCTGGTACAAAGGGCAAGCCAAAAGGACGCCATCCGCCGTCTCTGCTCAGGCCACGCTCTTGAGCAACCGTGCCCAAGCCTTGCTGAAACTGGAACGCTACGAGCCTCGCTTAGACCCGCGAGCGAGTCGTCTCGAAACGTTGGCTTGTTCCAACCGGAGCTGTTCAGGGTTTGCACCATGGTTCAATGGACACCACCAATGAATCTCAACTTTTGGAGGGGAAATCCAGTGACCCCTGTACCCGTTTCGATAGGGTTCTCTTAGCAGTTTAGCCAGAAGCCCCGAAAGGTTTACTTACCTTCTACTTTCAGGTCCTTTGGACAATGTGCTTGGTTTTGGACATCGGCTTGCTTCAGAAGGGTGTCGCTGTCATTCGCGGTGAACGGATTGAATGCCGTGTATTTTGCATTGTACGGGTCCCTTCATTCAGAAAAAATGGGGTGCCCTTTCTAGCCTTCGGATGCTGGCTTCGAGCCACACGGCCGGCAACTCGGATGCCTTGAGTAGGGCACACAGCCTACAGGACTAAAGTGGGACACAACCTACTTGTTACACACATGGAGCACAACCTCAAAAAGTAACGCTGAGCATCCAAGATATCCAATAATCATACTTTCCTGAAGATGAAGGACCCCTACGCGACGTTTAGAACAAATCAGTTCTTCGGCTGATTCGACTTACTGCCCTTTTGTGGTCTGGACTCTTCTTCGCATTTGATTTGTCCGCAACAAAATGGGTATGTGTCCCACCCATGCGGGGGTCTTTCTGGGGGTTCATGTCTGTCGGGGTTGGCAGAATTATTCCCCAGCGTTTCCCAGTCATACCCTTCGATGATTCGTTGCTTCGACTGGTGGAAGGATGTAAAAGGTTGACCTTTTGCAAGATTAACGAAGCACTGAGATTGTGGTTCCCCAAGATGGATGATTTTGTCAAAATCTTTGGCCTCAACCCATCCATGGAACCCGTAATCCCCCCGTCGAGCCTCAAAAACAGGCCGGGTGTGGGACCGCCTTCAAAGGTTTCTCAGTTGTTCAGTGGCATCCTTTATCCCCGTTTTTTTGGGTGGCTGCCCCACTGAAATTATGATCTTCCCCAAAAAGGGTTCCCTTTTTTTCCAGGGTCACTGAACAAGATGGCAAGCCCACATCCTGAAAACCTTCGAGGTACATGGAAACTGGAGTGCGTGCAAGTCAAATCGGTTCGACCCCGGTGATCATTCAAGGGTTTCTTTATCCACGTTAGGTGCTACTTGTATCTCAAAGACTCAAGAGTTTTAGAGCAACCCTTGAGGTCGCAGCCCTCAATTTGCGCCACAGAAACCTCAGCTAGTCGGATTGTGAGAATACCTCTTCCCAAAGACCACCAGTTTTGCACGGATATGAGCTTAAGGGTACAACTCTAGTTTACCCTCGAGGGAAACCAAAAGGGCATGGATAGGTTCAAAGGTACCTGCAACCCGCATTCAGAGAATGCCCTGGCAACTTCAAAAGGC